TCAAAATTAAAAATATATAAACTTTAAATCTTGGAGCTGCCACTTCGACGAGGAGCTTGAAACGAGCTACAAGTGGAGACGACCAATGATCAACAACAACAAAACAAGTCTATTTCAGCTAAACTTTCCTTAAACTTAAACAAAAAGCCTTAAAACTTTGAGGTTGTTTACCTAGTGTAACATAAATCCTCACCCCATCTTTAGGTTTTTGTACAATCATTTTGTACAATAAAAGCCCTAACTCTCTTTAGGCTCTGAGGTCATTGTTCGGTATGACGTAAACCCTTCTATCTTTCTAGACTACTTGCATGATCAGACTCATGTAAATGTAAAACCCAAATAATAAAATCAGTAGGATGAAACATTAAACTATATCACCTTCAAAATTGAAGTCAAACCATTGGATAGTTTGGTAAGTCACCGAGGCTTGCTTAAAGATTTGTGACATCCTCTACTTCTTGTTTGTTTGACTTCTAAAAATAACTGCTCCTATTTAGTTTTTTCTCACTTGTTTTCCCCATGTCTAATCTTGAAAACCTAAACATCAAAATCTTAAAGACAAATAACTCTGATCATTATTGAGAGTCTTCTTAAATGACTTCAGTCATTTAAGATGTAACTAACTATAGAGACATGCCTCTATAGGAAACTTTAGAACCCAAGTAAAATAAACTCTATCTAATCTTCATATTAGATAGGAGAACTTTTCAGCCAACATAAAATGTTTGCAGACTAAATGGATGTCATAAATTACATATTTTAAATAACTAAGCCCACTGTCAAGTAGTGTGCCTATCTCTCAGAACGGTCTATTACTTGTAGTGTTGCGCTTGATTGTTTAAACAATTAAAAATATGAGATCCGTTCAGACTTGTATTTTTCATAACTAAAATAATATTTTCAAAATCTAAATTAATTTATATAAATTAAATCATTTTCAAAGCTACTGACCAATTTAAATCTAACAACCCACATAGATTAATAAAAGTTTTCTTTTCTATAGGTTCTAATAAAGCCTATGGGTATGATGGGTTTTCTTCAAAGTTTTTTAAATATTGCTAGAATTTTGTTAGCTTTGATTGCATTAATGTTGTTAAACATATTTTTATTACTTTGAGGCTTCCTCATAGAGTTAAACACGTTGTTATCATCATTATTCCAACGAAATATGATGTTAATTCTTTTGTTATTTTTAGGCCTATCACTTTATGTAATACATTTTTTAAATTTATTATTATTCTTATTTCTGATAGGCTTACAATTGTTATTCCTAAAATTTTTCATCCCACTCATACCACTTTTATTAGGTGTCATGATAATACTAACAATATCATTCTTGTTAATGAATCATTTTATAATTTCAATTCTAAAAAACTCTGCTAAAAAGTTTTGTTTTAAGATTGAAATTTCTAAGGTTTTTGATAAAGTTAATAAGCATTTTCCTTATAAAATAATGAGAAAATATAGTTTTCTTGAAAATTTCATTAATTAGATTGTCTCTTATACTAAGAATGTTAAATACTTCTAGATTGAGACAAGATTATCCTTTCTCTCTTCTTTTCTCTTTGCTATTATCATGTATGCTTTGGTCATCTTTCTTGATTGTCAATTAATTAGTGGTAATATTTTCAATTATTTATCTTGGTTAATCTATGCTTATGATATTTTTTTACTTGGTAAAATTGATTTTACTACTATCACCATTATTACAGATACTTTCATTAATTTAATTAGAACCATAAATTTGTTTGTTAATAATTATAAGCCTTCTATTATTTTGTCTATGTTTGTTGATGATACTACCCAAAATCTTATAAGCAATATTTGTGGCTTCATTATCAAGTAGTTTCCTTGGAACAACTTAGGAGTTATTATCAAACCTGATAAGTTGGTTATGAATGATTGTCATATTCTCATCGATAGACTTCATAAGTGGTTAGCTAGTTAAAAGCAGAAGCTTTCATCTGTTGCTGGTAGGCTTAAACTTGTTAAGTTTACTATATGGAGTTATTTGTACTATTAGTTTCATTCTTTCGTTATTCCTACAAGTATTAGGAAAGGAATTGCTTCAATGATTTCAAATTTTCTCTTTTATAATGATAATGATAGAAGGCTTCATACAGACTCCTAAAATAAGATTAATTTGGCTAAAGTTTATAGTGGCCTTGGTATTCCTTTATTGGATAATATTAATGCTATGTATGAATAAGGAATTATTTAAAATTTTAATAATGTTAATGCTAAATAGTTTTTAAACCACTATATTTTTTTTAGATTAGCCCGTGTTCCTTCTCAACTTCTTTCTGGAAGGATATTGTTAAGATCACCTATAAAATGAGACATCACTTAAAATTTCATATTACTTTAAATAATAATCTCACTTTCTTCTATGATAATTACTTTAATGGTACATCTCTTAAGGAGTTTTTTGGTGATATTATTTTTACTTGGTTTAATCTTCCTCAAACCGCTCATTGAAATTTAGGCCTTTTTAATAATGTTTCAATTAACTTTTTAAATGCTATTACCTATATTCCTTCTTTAATGGTGATTCTTATGTTTGGGATCAAATTAACTCTTATTCTCATATGACTGGTTATTTGTCATTATATAATCACCTGTATTGTGTTAATTTGTTTATGCTTATTTGGTTTAAAGGTCATTTCCTTAAATATGTTATTCATATTTGAAAAATTATTCATAATGATTTAAAAACTTGTGATATTCTTTCTCTGAAAGGAATGAATATAGATAATATTCGTGTTTTGTGGTAAAGGATTAGAAACTTAGACTCATTTTTTCTTTGGATGCTATCTAATTGTCTCCTCAATAAGTGTGTGCCTTATTCTTATTTTTTATGATCTCTTCTAATATGTTTATGTTTTATATCATTTTGATAATATTTCTTGCAAAACCCAAAAGGATTTCATTTATTTGTTTTGTTATTTACGACCTATCATATTTGATTTGAAAGGAATTCAGAAATTTTTAGGAATAATTATTGATTTGTTGATAGTCTTGTTCATTATATTCATTATTTAATCATTTATAAATTTAGAAATTGAAAATTTAAAAGAGAAATTCCTATTTATATATTTAATTTTTATAACTTTTAAGATCTATATTTATTGTCTCTATTTGTTGGTTATTTATTTGCTTCACTTTGTTTTGGACTGTTGATTTTGTTTATTTGGCTTCTTTTTGTGGTTCGTTCTTCTAATATGTTGTATTCTTGGTTGGTTTTGTTGGACTATTTCCATCTCTCAAGTATTTACCATTCTTTGTTGAAGCTGGTTGGATATATTGAGAGTAAAGGATGGTTGATTGAGCTCTTTTATTCTTTTTCCTCTCCCGAGGTTGCTTCATCTTATATGGTGGCTCTTGTTTGTTTTTTTTACTTTTATTTTCTCTAGTTGTTGGTCAGGGGTTCTTTTTTGATTGTTCGATGGAGTGGTTGTTGTTGGGGTTTCTTTATTTTGCTTGTTGTTTAAATGGTTATTTTGAGGTTAGTTCTTTTTTGTTAGTTTTCTTGTGTGGTTGCTGTTTTCTTGAGGTTTTTTTTGATTTTTTGATGACTTGAGTGATGTTGTTTTTTGCTTTTATTCCTCCCCCTTTTTTTTGTTGAGAGGGTCGTTTTTTATGATTTTTATCTCCCGATTTTTTCTCGCTCTCTATTCTTTTTTTGGATACTACTCATTTTTTTTTTATTGGAGGCTATTTTTTGTTAGCTATGTTGTAACATTTTCTTTATTGAATAATAACCGTTCTTTGAAAATTTTTCTTTGTTTGGCTCATCTATATTGTTTTTGAATCATTAAACTTAGCTGTTGTCTCAATCGTTTAATGAATTTATCTTTTTTTTTTACTTTTTCTTAAGCCAAATTCCTTATTTTCTTTGAATTTGAATGGATATTTTGGGACTGGATGATGACTTGACTGACTTTATATTTCATTTCATTTCTTTCATCTCATTTTATTTTTTTCTTTTCTGATATTTTTGGGACTGTTTTGCTTTCTTTCTCTGGTATGTTAGTTATTTTGCAAACATCTGTTTTATTAGTTTGAGGTTTTATTCATAATTATTTTTGGAGAGAGTTTTTTTCATATTTTTCAGGTTTATTTCTTGGTTCTTTGAAATTCTCCAAATATGTTGCAGTTTGTTCGAGTAATGTTGCACTTGTTGTTCCTCTCTTTATTGATCTTTGGATGTTTGATGGTCACATGAAGTTCTTTTCCTTGGTTTAGCCTATGGCTTGAGTGATATTGCCGTTGGCTATTATTTTTCTCCTGTTTGATCTTTGGAGAGATGATTTCAATTGTAATTTTTGGTTGTCTAGTTTGTTTGATATTTGTTCATGTTTGTTGGGGTATTAGGTTGTTTGGTTTGATTTTTTTTTTTTTTTAAATTTTAGACTTTTTTCTATTTAGTTGTAAAAATGATTGTTTTATTTTTTTTTGGGAAATTTACATAAATAAAACCCAATTCTTATGCATTTACTTATCTCACATCCGAACTTTGATTTTTACTAGCATCTTTTCTTATGATTGAAAAAATATATTAAAATATAGATTACACATTTTCCTATAAGTAGGTTGCTTAATTTGTAAAAATTAAAATTTAGGTGTTAGATAAGCAAATACATAACAATTGGATACCATATATGTAATAACATATTTTTGTATGAATATAAATGGAGGTGGTCCTTATTTTCTCACAAAACAAAAAGTCAAAAAAAAAAAGAGCCGCTGAAAATTTTCTTTTTTCCAAGCCTAGCCGAGTAGAACTCTCATCCCTCACGGCAGGACCCCACTCACAGGCTCCCCTTCACCGCCACGTGTCAGTAAAGACCTATCATGCACCCGTTCGACCACACTCGGCTGTGAAAATATCATCATCAATGAAGGGTGAGATTACCCCAGCAAACTTCGCTGAAGAATTATCAGCCGTCAGATGACAGAATTGGCGCGCCGACTCCTTTCTTTAGGCGCAAGAAAGAAAGAAAAGAATTGACCGGCTGGCAACATATGTACCCGGTTCACATCCTCCGGCGACTCTCCGCTCTTCTCCTTTCTTGTCGAGGCTTTGTCGCGACAGCGTGAGTGAGCCACAGGAGAGCGGAGAGAGAGAGCCCATTTGATGAGGTATTATTTTCTTGCTGCTCGAGGTATAAATCTCTCTTCCTTTGATGGCCTCGTGTGAGGTCATGTTTAGGTTTTCTATATTGTTTTTTTCTTGGATATTGATGCCTTTGTCTGCGATAATCGCGCGGCGGTACAGGTGAGTTTGCAAACCCGATCGGTAGGTGTTTTAATTTTTTTTTTTTTTTGCTTCGAGCTGACAAAGACAGTGAGATGCTTGATGCTGACTCCATTGATTAGGGCATAATTTTTATTTAGTTTATTGTCGGCACGGTTGGGGTTAGGGTTAGGGTTAGGGTTAGGGTTAGGGTTAGGGCTAGCCTTTTAAATTGAGAATTGCGGGCTTGGTCACGTTGGTGCTTGGCGGAGAGTGTTGATTCACCTGGTGATGATTGTATCTTACTGTTTGTGGCCGCGGGTTGTTTAGGAAATTTGAAGTAGAAAATTCCTCGTTTTCATAGGTCAAGTAATATCGTTAAGTTAGTTGTCTATTTTTAGGTTTTCTTTGTAAATGCTCTTGAACTGCTTTGATTTTGAAAATCTGACGTATTACAATTTGATTTGTGAGAAAATGTTTGATAGGAACCGGTACATTATATTTGCATGTTTCACACAATGGGTGGCATGCGAGCAGACAGCTTCTCTCTGGGGGCGATTTTGACAGTGATTTCCTTGCTTACCAAAAAACACAACAGATCGGCAACAAATCATATGTAACCTCAGTTTCTGCCTTGCCTGGCCTCTTTTTAGGTTGATTAACGAATGCTAGCGAATTGTACAAATGATGAGCTGGGTTAAGGAATGGTTGCTTTGCAATAGTTTGGGTCTGAGATGAAAAGAGTTGAATGCATTGTGGATTGAAGGGCACAATTTTTGTTTTATTTTGTTGGTACGATGGCATATTTTAAATTTTCCCATTGCGGTTTTTTTGCTAGTTGTCCCAGTAGGTGTGTTTGTGGCAAATTTTGGCATGTACTTTGGATGGCTTTTTTTGATGTGTCCTTGCAGATTGTTGCTTGCTTTTGAATTGTGGTCCTTGATATATTGATTGTATAATTTGTACCAGTTTTGTGCTTGATACTATCTATCTATTGTTTCTGTTGGAATCTATGATAGACTTGTGTATAATTTTTAAGAAGATTAACAATATTTTTTCGTTGTAATTATTCCTTATGTAGATCCAAATTCGCTTGAACCATGTGGGATCAGTCCCTCTGATTTATTTTGGTCGAGTCCGAGGCTATTCAATCTACAAAGAAAGGTCAACACGTTCAAGGTGAAAAGATGAACTCTCCAAAACCATATGATAAGTGTACAAAGTATTAGGACCAACTAGAAGAAGTTCCCAAGCATTGGAGCTACTAACCCCAATTCACCTAGATACTCGGCCTCTGGACCGGCTAGATGAAGTGTCCTAGCTGTCAGAGCTTGGCTGAGAGTGTCGATTCACCTGGTGATGGTTGTGTCTTACTGTTTGTGGCCGCAGGTTGTTTAGGAAATTTGAAGTGGGAAATTCCTCGTTTTCATAGGTCAAGTAATATCCTTATGTTAGTTCTCTATTTTTAGGTCTTCTTTGTAAATGCTTTTGAACTGCTTTGATTTTGAAAATCTGACGTATTACAGTTTGATTTGTGAGAAAATGTTTGATAGGAAGCGATACATTATAGTTGCTCCTCCTCATGTTGTTTCACAACAATGGGCGGCATGCTAGCAGACAACTTCTCTCCGGGGGCGAATGTGGCAGTGATTTTTTTGCTGACCAAAAAACACAATAGATTGACAACAAATCATTTGTAATCTGAGTTTCTTGCTTGCTTGATCTCTTTTTATGTTGATTAACAAATGCTAGCGGATTGTACAAATGTTGAACTGGGTTAAGGAATGGTTGGCTTTGCAATAGTTTGGGTATGAAATGGAAAGAGTTGAATGCATTGTGGATTCAAGGGCGCACTTTTTGTTTTATTTTGTTGGTATGATGGCATATTTTAAATTTTACCATTGCGCTTGTTTTGCTAATTGTCCCAGTAGGTGTGTTTGTGGCAAATCTTGGCATGTACTTTGGATGGCTTTTTTTGATGTGTCCTTGCAGATTGATGCTTGCTTTTGAATTGTGGTCCTTGATATATTGATTGTATAATTTGTACGAGGTTTGTGCTTGATACTATCTGTCTATTGTTTCTGTTGGAATCTATGATAGACTTGTGTATAATTTTTAAGAAGATTAACAATATTTTTTCGTTGTAATTATTCCTTATGTAGATCCAAATTCGCTTGAACCATGTTGGATCAGTCCCTCTAATTTATTTTGGTCGAGTCCGAGGCTATTCAATCTACTAAGAAAGATCATCACGTTCAAGGTGAAAAGATGAACTCACCAAAACCATACAATAAGTGCACAAAGCATTAGGAGCAACTAGAAGAAGTTTCCAAGCGTTGGAGCTACTAACCCCAACTCACCTAGAGACTTGGCCTCTGGATCGACTAGATGAAGTATCCCAACTGTCAGAGCTTGCCTAACCTTGCTGAAAGTTTGCCAACGATTTTTTGAGAACCCGCTGCTTATTTAGAATTCATCTTTATTTGCAATGTAATCAGATAATTATGAGCTAGCAATCTTTTTATAGTAACCCTTTATTAAACCTTGTAATGTTGTTTACCTAATTGTTTTAAATGTAATTTTTCTAATATTATTTTTCCTCAACCTCTTCTTGTAAATAAGGGTCCAGGGGCTGATCCTAGGACACATCGAATAATCATTACAAATATTATAATTTCTAGAACTACAATTAAATCTTAGTGCTTACTTGTAATCTTTTTTTCTCTTTTATTTTCCATTGTTACTTGGCCATTCTTTTGGCTAGTGCTTTTTTTGTTGACATAAACGATTATAGCTTCAATATTCTCTTAGGTTCTATGAGCTTGAACAAATGCCTAGGATTAGAAATTATGGGTTGAAGCAATAAGAATAAGAAAAACAAGATGGGGAGAAGGTTTGATTGACATGAAAAAGCTAAAAGTATCACTAAGAGTATCAATAGTAGACAACTCAACCAAATGGTGGAAAAACTTACTAAAATGATTCAAGTAGCTTTTTGGTGTATTATGAGAATTGCTTCACATGTAAAAATACCCAATGATGTTTCCTTAGATTCCATCAACCCTAGATAACGATGAAGTCTATAAGTGTCGTATTAGACTAGGGACTACCTACTTTCCCAAAGTTGTGTATAATCCATTCTTTCCTGAAGAGTTTAGAAGCCTCAACCGTAGCTGGTTAAATCATTTTCCATAGAAATTGCTAAAACTTTGTCGTTGTCAAAGTTCAAATTTTCATATTTAGATTTGTACAGGAAAATTGTGGTTCCAACTTATGACGACAGATTCTTTGAGTTGGCTCCCTTATTATTAAATGCTAATGAAGCTATAAAATGCTACTTGTAATCACAACCTTCAAGGAGTTGTCACTTAGGTATTTAAATTGCCTTGTGCCGGGAAGCATCACCTTTTTTTTTTCGAATTAAAAAATTGTCACCCAATTTTTAAGTTCGCTAAAGCCATTAAAATACTCTTGAGAATATTTGAAGGTTGGACAAGAGCCTAATGAATATCTCGGATGACTCATTGCTTGCTTTTGGTACAAAATGTTAAATGTCAATGACTTTGAGATATTAGTCACCCTAACAACATTTACATATGGATTTATGGATGGACCATTCAGATATGCAGTCGAACTAAAGAATTTGACTAAATTGGTTAACATGTTGGTGATTGCTAACATTAGTATCCAATTTACAAGTGGTAAGATCCTGGTGAACCTCTTAGATATTTGTCAGCTGCTTTTAGCAGAAAATATTGAATCTCAATAACTCAAAGCAGGTGGTCTCCCTAGCCGCACTAATGATTTTTTAGATATGCACTCAAACTAAACTGTTTATGGCATTAGTTAAAATGTCGAAGATGCTAATAACATATAAATGCAGAAGAATATAACAACACAAAAACCTTTGAAACTCAGCATTCTAAAGTCATCAGACTCGTAGTGCCATCTATGTATTAATATAACTTTAACTCACTCAACATGGATCGAAACTCTATGTAACCACCAATAATTATACCAGCATCACCCTTAATGAGTTGAGCATTGGTACTCTTTGACTTAGTTCCCACCAGAGACAAGTTACTGATGATGAATAGATTCTCTCGTGCATTTCTATATTTGCATCTCATGCAGAGTTGTTCAATACAATCAAAGACTTGTTATTGGTCACTTTTATGATATGTGAAAACTCATTGCTCGTGATCCATCAAAATACTTATATTTTCACAAGGATCATGATCATTGCTAAAATTATTACCGACATCTGCATAACTTAGTTGAAAGTTGGAAAGCTTATTGAATTTATATCTGAACATCTCGGATGTCAACCACATAATGAAGGAAAAAGAAATAAACTTGCCCCACACAAGTTATTGCAAATAGTTGAGAATATTCCATAAGCAATAGAAGTTTAGTAATAGTTTTCAAATTCAAAAGGGAGTCTGCTAAGAAAATTTATGATTCATTTGAGTCTATTCTTAATTACAAATTCTAAGACAATTTTATGTTTCCTTTTGCATTTTTTTGGTGTCTTATATTTTGCTCTGGGATCATATAGCTTAGGGAATTCTGTAACTCATCTACTTGACAAATCAGTTACTCGATCATTTGGTAGCTGGGGGAACTCGGTAACTCGATTTGTAGCAATGCTTAAATAGTAGTATTTAGTATTCGACAATGCTTATGGAATTTGATATTGGCATTTGAAAATACTTTTGAAACATGATTTTCAATATTTGACGATGTTTGGATAATTTGCTTATCATGTGATATTTCACTGAGTAGAAATTATCAAAAAATTTTGAGCTTGAATTCAAAATTCTTATAATCAATTTTAAGTAGGCCAAACTTTAAATTTGAAGCTCAAACCATTTTTTATTTAGATTGAAGATAGAAAAAATATGTATTCTAAATGCAACTCAACAACTC